AACAAATTCTTAATTAGAATTGAAGAGATTTCTTCTCTCTTCCCAGTGGAATCTTTTGATTTTTTTTTCTCCCCTCTGGATAACACAAAGGTGCTGGGAGCGGTATGACTGTCCTTTTTCAAAGTCCTGATTTCATTAGTTGAAAAACAGATGAAACCTAGAGCACATTAATGGAGCCAAGGATTATTGCCCACTACTTGGAGGCTAGCCATTTAAAAATGCACACATACATAACTAGTTCAAAGCCCCTTTCCTTTTCACATTAGTCTCACATGGAATCAGATCCTATTAGACCCTACAGATCTTATGAGTGTCAATCTCAGAGGGCTCAATAGCCTAAGGAGTGCCAATACCAATCTTCCTCAACACCCATGATGACATTGGGCTTGATTATCCTCTCGCTTATGCAAGGGAAACTCCATTGACTTTAGCAGAGCTACTTCTTGTTTACACCAGTATGAGTGGACAGTCAGACCCATTGTGACAATCTGGTCCAAGTAGCAATTTTGCTGGTCGAGTACAGAGAACCTTTTCCATTAGTCCCCCTCATCCATGCTGTTAAGGACTCCATTTTGTTGTCATTTACAGTTTGAAGGGCTATTACTATGGGCCATTGGGTTCTTGGTTATAAAAAATGGTTCCACCTCTACTTCTGATAAAAACCTAAATCCCCTTCTGCCCACATCCATCTCATGTGAAATTGAGGGGAGAAGTCCTCCCTTTTTCTAACTAGGAACAATAAAGTGGGTTCTAGGATCTTTTAGTTTTAGATTACAGGTTTTTACTCTCATTGCTTTCTCATTCCCATGAAGAAAAGGAGGTCTGTTTCCAATGCCGATCTCGACAAATGTTTGAATAAAACAAAATTCCATATAGTAACGTAATTCCTTCTCTTAGCAAGATTGCTTTGGAGTTGGACACTCAAGATGCATCCTTCACCATCTCAAGAAGGCTAACTAACACACATGAGATATCTAAGGTTCAAGTTAGGCAACAATAATTTCCCGTACAAGTTGCTCCTGTTTGGACACACTGTTCCTTCACCAGTTCTTTATTAGTGGCATTTACTCACCTCTGTCATCTAGAACTTCAGGAATATTCATACTTAAACTGTTGGTGTATTAGAGCTTATTACCACAACATGAGATTTGGGCGTGGTTCAGAAATCCCTGTCCGAAGGTTTTCTGGCACACTGGAGTCAGTGCTTGTATGCCTTTACCCTCTGTTCCCTTTACTGCAGCACAGCTGATTCTAGGAGCCCAAATTTGGGCAAGTCTGTTCTTGTTCTCAGATCTCTTTGCTCTGGGGAGAGAATCACTAAGGCCTGGTCTACACTGGGGGTGGGGGGGGATCGATCTAAGATACGTCGACTTCAGCTACGCTATTCTCGTAGCTGAAGTTGCGTATCTTAGATCGACTTAGAATCACTCATTTTGTGTCCTTGTGACGCGGGATCGACGGCTACCGCTCCCCCGTCGACTCCGCTTCCGCCTCTTGCCCTGGTGGAGTTCCGGAGTTGACAGCAGAGTGACCGGGTATCGATTTATCGCGTCTACACTAGATGCGATAAATCTATCCCCGATAGATCGATCGCTACCTGCCGATCCGGCAGGTAGTGTAGACGCAGGTAGTGTAGACATGGCCTTAGTCTCTCAACCTGGCAGTTAGGATCTTTGGACCTTAGTTGGGGAAGAGTTATATTTAGACGAAATCTAGTAAAATTTATTAGCAAGTTTCCAGATCTTCACATAGTAGACATTTGCAGTAGTTTGACCTGAAGGTTGGCTATTGACTGACTGTAGATGTAGCTGTAGCTCACAGGGTGTGGATGTGAGTTAGAAGCTGTTTGTCATCAAGAAAGGAAAGGATAATTAGTGTCTTAAACGTATACAAATGTTCTTACATCGCATGATATATCATTTGATCTTGTGCTAATATTCCTGTGCATGGGGTGTCTCCCCAGGAGTATCAGGAGACTTTCCTGCTCTTTGCTGCTGGATATCTCATACCTTTCTAGAAAACAGTGATGTCAGCAATTTAGCCCTCCTTGAGTACCTTGCCTGTTACTTTCACAATGTAATATACCTAACTCCCCTCTCCTGAACTGTTATCACATTGCTCCCCACTTTGAATCCCTCCACTGAATCGCTATGTGTTAGCAGAACTTTATACAAAAGATGTATCAGTTACTATAAAGAACACTGTCTGTTGTTACGAACAATTTTACATATTCTTCTGTAACTTGTGGGTGCTATTGTGTTATGAACTTCAGACAGCTTCTTCAGTGCAGCTTATCTGCCGCATGAAGCTTTTGTCACTGCCTTCAGGACCTTGCATGATACCTTTGCCCCTCCCTACTTATCTGACCTCCTCATTTTTTGTGTTGCTCCCTGTACCCTTCATTTCACCGGTGTTGCCAGCCTTGATACCTTGCTTTCCTATAACAGTCTCTGTACTTTCTTCCATCCTACTCCCTACCCATGGAATACCCTTTCTTTGTTTATACTGATCTCATTTTTAAATCCCATCCTAAGACCTACTTCTGTTGTGACATCTATAGGAAATTAACTGGTTGGTAAGAAAGCAATGGATGGTAGCTGATACAATGAAAAAAAAATAAAAAAAGTTATGAGAAATACCAATACAAGTGCCAGGCATCACCTTGATGTATATATTGTGTTTATATATCATATTTCTTTCTTCCACCTTTGATCCATTTTTTGCCTTTTAGATTAAAAACTTTAGAGGTAGGGGCTATGTCATCCTCTTCTGTGGTTAGAAATCTACCATATTATGGATGCTGCTGCACTCTAAATAATTTTATAGCTAGAATGAGACTATATTGTTCTCTCATGTTGTTTTTTGTCTTCTTCCATGTTTCCAGCAAATAGGCTAAGTAGTGAACAGGACACAAAATGGATAAACTTGTAGCCGTAGCCATTTCAGCAACAACTAAAGGGGGAGGATGCAACAAGAAGAGGTTCTCTCTTCTCCTATCTCTTGTCATGGTCACCATTGCCCACCTCTGTTAGGTGGAGTGCATTCTGCTAATCTCCCCCTCCCACAACCACTCACCTCATCCTATTTGATCTTCAAAGACTTCTTTAAGGTGTACTGTATGTTAGCAACAGTACAGTCATTAGAGGATAGATTTGATCAGGTGTATTTGTAATTAAATATAATTTTAAATCTAAATCTGTAACCCTGGTGGGGGAAAAAGGAAATAGAATACTATTTATAAACACAAGTAGAATCTATACTTCAATTTCAAACTAAGGGAGAAAATTACATTTAGAGGCATCTTTATAAAGGACTATTTATTGATTTGTTTAAAAATTAAGATTTTGAAATTTTTTTCCAAGACAAATAATGTTAGGATTTTTCCGTTTCTGAAGTCTGTAGACAGAACTTATTCATATAGCTCTCTCCCTTTTTACTTTAAAATTCTGTATGCATAAAGTGTGAATACCTTATATAAGATCAAAAATATTTCCAGATTGCCTACAAAATTACAACATCAGTACTTCATTTGGGTTCTAACCCTGTCAATGCAATTCTTAAAGTAAACTTTGATTTGGCTCTAGATTGGGAGTAATTGATGGCCAATGGTTCAGAGACCAAAAGTAAAAATTTACTATCAGAGTAAACAAATCCTTGTTTTTTCAGAACAATCTGGACCCACACAGAATTTAAGAGGGAGAAAAATTTTAAGCTATGGAATTTTTTTTTTTTTAATTGGCTGTTTCAATAACTTTCCTTGTTGGGGAACGGGATTCAGAGTGGTAGCCGTGTTAATCTGTATCAGCAAAAACAACAAGGAGTCCTTGTGGCACCTTGGAGACTAACCAATTTTTTTGGAAATAAGCTTTTGTGGGCTAGCAAAAGTTTATGCCCAAATAAATTGGTTAGTCTCCAAGGTGCTACAAGGACTCATTATTGTTTTTGCTGATACAGACTAACACGGCTACCGCTCTGAAACCTGTCACCATGCACGGTGCTGAATTTAGCTGTATGAAGTGGAAATCCATCAGCCATGCATCTGAAGTGGGTTCTAGCCCACGAAAGCTTATGCCCAAATAAATTGGTTAGTCTCTAAGGTGCCACAAGGACTCCTCGTTGTTCTTGTTGAGGAAGTTTGCCTGGTTGAGGATGCTAACTTTCTTTTATGATTCTGATGAAGCAGTGGAACTTTTGAGGTAGATAAGAGAAGGAAAAATGAATCTCTTGTTGAAAGGTAGGATGAATTGGATGAGGATTAGTAACCTGAATATATTTCACGAGACTTTGAATGAAGAAGTGTTTACTTAATTTGTTTACTGGTTTGAAACACTAATTTGGAAAGAAGCCTATACTGGAAGCAAATTAAAATATACAACTTAATGTTATAGATTCCTTGTTGAATAAGCTAGTCTAATTTAATTGGAAGTTTGATATAGAAGCAGTTTTAACTTTAGTTTTCTACTTCTCCTCTATATTGAAATTTTGTGATTTGTAAAGTAATATATTTTTATTTACTTACTACCATATCAATGGGCCTGCTTTTGTCAGCTTTTCTACTGAATAATCTGACAAGTATAAAAATATTGTTGGTTTAGGTATTCAAACTCCACAGTCTGAAGAATAGTGTGTTAGTATTTATTTTGTTTAAGAGGCTAAATTTTAATTTCTAGGATTTTTCTGTTGAATAACTATTTAACTGTATTTAGCTGTAATTTGAATGATAAGTGAAGTTTGGCTTAGTTCTTTATTAAATTCTTATATATTGTTATGTATTGATCTATCTAATAAATACTCCTTACTCAAGTGGTGATGTGAGGGCTTGGCAGTAAGTTTGGATTGTACGCTATTGCATTGACTATTTATGCAGTGTTCTTGTCAGTTTGTTCAATTTACTGTGGATGTAAAATCTTAAAATTATAAATAGATTTATAAAAGAGATTCCTTTTTGCAACATAGACTTCAGACTCAATTTAATAAAATTTATACTTCTTCCATTTCAGACTCCAGGCAGAGTTGGGTCTCAGAGCTCGGATTCGGATTCCTCTGCAACCCCAGGAAATGCAGTGGATGTGAACAATGAAAGTACTTCAGAGGTACTGTAGGATAACAATATATGGGACTAGGTTCTTACACTTGGCACTGATTCACCTCTCTTTGAGAGGGACTTTTAATTAGGCAAAATCTGTATAAATGGACAAATGCATACAAATGTGTTGTACCAGGAAATTAAAAAATGTTTCATAGCATGCATGTATTAGTGAGTTGAATTTGTGAAGTTTGCTAGCTTAAAATGAGCAGACATTCTTAGTAGGCTTCATAGTGAAATGTTAGCCCATATGCAGTAAGTGTGAACAAGAAATATATGAAATATATTGCTAACATGGAATAATTTCATCTCAGAACTTTGAGTAAAGTGACATGATCCTGTGAATTTGGGTGAGGCATCAGTGATTCTACATTTGATATAAAAAAGAACCTGCATATTGTTGTACTATTCTTCAGATACATCAAGAATTGCTAAAGAATTGTTTGGTGTCTGTGGTTATGCAGTCAAGTTGCTCCGAGAACTGATGATGAACTCAGGCATAGGGCTCATGCATCACTTGCTTTTTCAAGCTATTCTCTAATTGTCTTAAGAAATGCTTAAATAAGTTGACTAATGCAGTGACTAGTGGCAGACTGGATTGTTCCTGTAATATAGTATGTTTGAAATTCTCTGTGGGCATGTAGTTAAGTGCAGTGGTGAATTTAATCACTACAATAAAGTATGTTTCCTTTGTGTTGAAGAGTCTAAGTTAATGATAGGTGAATCTCAGAAAGTTCAGATATTTACAGTATCTAACCTCAAAATCTGTTGTGGTCTCCTACCCAACTGGCCAAAAATGTTCCCTTCCTGTGATTCTTCTTTCCATGTACATTGTGATCTGCTGCCCATGCCCATCATAGCCAGACCCATTGTAGGACATCTGCTTCTCATTATAATCCCATCTGATCATCTAGTATTATGTGGAATTGAGTCGCAATGGATCATTCATTCTGTTCCAGGCAGGCAGGTTTATCTTTCTAAATCTCCCAATCCAGATCATTGTAAGATCGGAATGGAGACAATAACCTGGGCCCAACAGAAGATCTGGGGATCTACGTAGGCTATGTCTACACTACAGAATTAAATTGACGCAAGTTTTGCCGACGATCATAAACTGCTATAATTACAGCACTTGTGCATGTTCACACAACACTACTTGTGTTGGCGGAGTGTGTCCACAGTTGGTGCTCTAGCACAGAGAGAGAGAGAGCAGAGCACAGTGGGTAGCTAACCCATGTCATGCAAGGGACATGACACTGAGGAGCACTCCCTTAATGGAGGCTCTCATAGCTGTGTATAAGTCCAGATGTCATTCGGGAATGTATCCAAAGGAGTGGTCTGAAAGGGGTACTGCGAGATGCAACGAATGAGTGTGGGAAGGGCATGGTATGCAGTTCTGTATAGGCTGTAGGGGAAGGTGAGCACACGTGTTCTGACTGCAGCACAGTCAGGGACTTCAGCATCTCTGGTCCTCCATCAGTTTTATCATTTGCTCCTGACCCACTAAAATACATTCCTAGCCATGCTTCCTCTCCAGGCTGTCTATTTTCAATTTTTCATCAATTGTCTTTCTTCATGCCCTGTGCTCATCATCTGCTGTGTCTGACGATAGGAGCGCCTCCCTAAACGTGTCCTCCTTGCTCCTCCTGCGTTGCCTCCTTATCTGATGGAGGCACTCCGTTGGTGTATAAGGGGTTCCCCTGAAGGGCACATCTACAGAAGCACAAGAAGCAATAAAGAGAGGCAGCAATAAACAGAAGCACTCACAGCATTGAATCATTATAGTTAAATTCACCTCTTTCTCACTCATTCTCCACTGGCAAGCATACAGCTCATCGAGTACCCTAAACATGGTGAGTTCGGCCCAGGGTGGAGGGAAGGTCCAAGATGGGACAAAGGGTCTACGTGGCTTTTTAAGAGGATCACTGCAAGCGACTAGGGACACTATTATAAATTCTGCCACCATTTTCCACAGGTAGGGGTAATTGAAGCCAATATCTCACTCCTGAGGGTAAACAAGGATGCAAGGGTGCATCTCCGGCATTCCTGCGGCTTCAGACCAGGTCCCTATGCTGCTTGTTTGTGTGTCAGTTTGGTCCCTGCACAAATGATTGCCGATTGACATGACAGCATTTCCTACAGCGGGGGAAGAAACAAAGCATTTTTGCCAAGGAACCTTAGGCAGAGGATTGGCAGGTACCTCCAGGAAAATTTCCTAGAGATCTCTCGGGAGGATTCCTGTGAAATCTCAGTGTGAATTAACAAACTTTTCTGCAGGGCCCGCACTGCTTAGCTGTAGGGGTAATGGGAAGCAGATGCAAGCACTGCTAGTCTTGTATATTTCTATCCCTTAACCCACTTCTAGCACACTAAACGAAAGAAAGGTCAGTGCTATCTCATGTAACTGAGTAGTATCAAATCAAAATGAGTGCTTACCAGAGCTCCCCTCTTGTGCATCATGCACACCAGAGCTGGAGTGCTGGGACTGGCTTGAACAGTCTGTACTCGAGAAGAGGTCCTGGCTTGCCACGCCGACCGGACGACCTTGTCACCTGTCCCACCTCATCCTCCAACTCCACTTCCTCATTCACCATTTTGTCTTCGGGGTTCAGGCCACTGTCTCCAATTCCCCGCGAAGTATCGACGGGGCTTTTGTTGGTGGAGGTGGGGTTGCTGCCGAGGATGGCGTCCAGCTCCTTGTAGAAGTGGCAGATTTTTGATGCAGCTCCAGAGCAATGGTTTGCCTCCCTTGCCTGCTGGTACGCCTGCCTCAGTTCCTTGATCTTCACACGGCACTGATGCATGTCCTGTTCGTGGCCCTTCTTCAACATGCCAGGAGAAATCTGATAGTAGGTATCGAAGTTCCTACGGCTGGAGTGGAGTTGGGACTGCACAGCCCCCTTTCCCCACCAACCCAGCAGGTCCAAAAACTCTGGTGTTCTCCAAATGGAAGCATGTTTGCTGCAGCGAGCCACCATGATCAGATGGGAAGATGCAATGTTAACTGTCCATACCAAGCAAACGGGAAGTGGAATTTCAAAAAATCTCAGTCCTTTAAAGGAGAGGGGTGGATACCTGTGTACCTGGCTGCAGGGCAGCGGAGTTTGAACTGCTGACCACGGTGGTCAGCTGGGCATTGTGGAACACCTCCTGAAGGTCATTTATAGCAACATAATTAAACTCAGTGTCTACGGTGACACTGCATTGCTCTAACTTTGTCGCAAAAAGCTCTATGCCTGTCGTTGAGGTGGTTTTATTTTGTTGCAGTAACAGGAAAGTTAAATCAGGGGGATGAGTGTTGTTGTGTGTACACCTCCATTGTTTTGTTGATGAAAGCCGACTTTTGTCGGCAAAACTCTGTTGTGTAGACAAGGCCTTAGATCCCATGAGTCTTCAGTAGATATCAGGATTGGGTTGAAGGGGGCTGGAAGAGGAGGAAGGCTTAATTTAATAGAATGGATCCAAGTCTTGGAGTTTCTTTTTTGGGTTAGGACTAGGGCTGAGGTCATGAAGCTGTTTTCAAATCAATATGTCTGACTATCTTATGCCTAAGGTAAATCTGATATGAATATGTAGAATTTTTTAAATCGTGTAAGAAGGAAACACCCTTGTAAATCCTCTCTGTTCTTTTCTTCATGTGCTAAGTACACTGTGCAGTGAAAACCCAAAACAGAAAATCAGATTAGTGTATCAAGTATGTAATTAACTTATGCAGAAATACATATCAATCTTTGTAACCTCCCCATGTGTTAAATGATAATGCCAGATGTATTCTAGCCCAGCACACTCTTTCTGCTGTGCAGCATTACCTGTGAATTTACATAGTCCTGGTTTAAAACTAAGACATTTTGATTCTGTGTGCATCTATCCGAATGCCCATGTATACATTGGTGACTTTAACTTGCCATTTGGTGTTGAGTATGTGGCGTAAATAGCGTAGATGGAGACTATTTAACCTTTTCTCCTGATGAGCATCAGTTATCCATGTTCTACCAAGTGTGACAGCCTGGCTCAAGCAAAGATGACTGCACTGGTTGGGCCATCTGAGTAGGTTTGAAGATGGACGCATAGCCAAGGACATGCTATACGGGGAGCTATCAGAGGGAACAAGAATAACAGGACGTCTCAAGCTTCGCTATAAATACGCATGCAAGCGAGATATGAAGGAATTTGGAATTGATCCTGACCATTGGGAAACCTTGGCAAGTGATCGTAACAAGTGGTGCCAACATCTCCCATCAAGACATCAAAGTCCATGACAGGAGCTGGCTTTTACAGCTTGAAGAGAAAAGAACCCGTAGGAAGCAAGCAGTTCCCAACTAAGAAACATATATTTGAAACAACTGCCAAAGGTCATGCAAATCTCAAATTGGACTATTCAGTCACATGAGATATTGCAAACCATCTACATCATAGGCTGCAAATCCCACCATCGCTTGCAGACAAAACGATGCCAACTATGTGTACATGCATTTCCCATTTTACGCAAACAAGTGGCATGCACAGTTTTGAAAACTGACCTCCAGAAGTTAGCTTGTGTATATAGCTTTCTATTTTTTTAACAGATTCTGTAAAAAAGCTTATTTTAACTGGAAAACAAAATAAACAAAAAAGTAGGTTTAACTAATGCAATTTGAATCTTGGATCTCTACTCTTATTTTCCTCTTTCATCAGTGAGAGAGACACATTATTAAGGCATTGCACTCTTTTTGATAGACTTGTTTGCACGTACTTCAGACAACGGGCCGGAGGAAAGGTACTTCTGATGTTGCAAGGTTTTCTTATAGCTGTGTGGATTTAACTTCGTAAGTTACGTTGTTGAACATGGTAGTGCAGTGAACAGGTGATCCTTTAAACTGAGGTAAATGATCATTCTGGGTGACAAATGTGTTGTAAATGTTGCTAATTGGTTAAAGCTGTTCTGAATTAAAAAGAAAGGTTACTCGGGTTTTTTTTTTTTTGTTCTTAACAATTTGTGTAAAGCGCACTCTTACCTTGGTTATAGTTTCTTCAGAATTTAAATTTTTACTTCCATGTGCATATTATTGCCTCACTGATCTGAATCCATAATAGTGCCTTTTGCTAACAGTACTGAGATAAATTTAAAAAGCCCTTAAAAAACTGATTGCCATTTAAGAAATAACTTAGGAGAAAAATAGTTGGATATACTTTATATAGTTCCACATCAACAGATTTCTTTTTAAAGGGACACTTTCTTCCATTTTTTTCCCCTGAAACTGTTTTTACCTTCTGTTTTTCACAAGGAGCATTTAACATTACTGTAACTGAAGGAAATGAGAAGGGAAAAAAAAAGTATAGTACAATTGTTTGTCAGAAAAACTTTGACTGAACCCCTCTTTCCCCCCTCGGAAAATGTGTGAATTGTCATCACTCTTCTGCAAATGTTGACTTGAGTCCTCTTGTTCATGTACTATGGTATTCTGGTTCTTTCACACCCTCTCCCAGTTTATTTTTATAAAAGGTCTGAAAGCAATGTTACAAAATTTCATGTCAGACCTTGGTACAGAACTTTCACCTGGGCTATGTCTACACTAGAGAGCTTACAGTGGTGCAGCTATACCGATGCAGCAGCGCCACTTTAATATCTCTCGTGTTGTTGCTGTTGACATAATTAAACCACCCCCAACAAGTGGTGGTAGTTATGTTGGCAGGAGAAGCTCTCCTGCTGACATAGCGCTGTCCACACTGGCGCTTAGTTGGTGTTACTTACGTTGCTCAGGGTATGCTTTTTTCCCCACGCCCTGGGCGACTTAAGTTGTACTGACATAAGTGGTAGTGTAGACATAGCCCTAATATTTTATAATGTCTGTGTCATGATACATTATGCATAATGTGCCCCTTTGTAGTGTGGAGCAGTATCAAAGGCCTAATAAAACTGATGAAAACAATTAACAGAATGAATGTACTGCCTACTGTCACAGCTCAGTGTCTCAGATATATTTTGTTTTTCATTCACTTGACAACATTCTGTTTGTCATCTTCTGTGTTTTGGACTCATGATCAGCAACATTTCATCTTAAGAAACTTACTGAAAAGTAGTAAGCACCAGCTTTGTTTCTTTTATATAAGCAGTAGCATGCTTTTTAAGAATTTGAGTACATATTTGACAATTAATGTGCTCTTTCTGTTTATATTCTTAATTTTTCAAAAAATGTACATACCTAAAAGTTACTGTTTCACAGGGCTTCATCTGTCCACTATGTATGAAAATGTGTGTGAGTGCCACTGGTCTGTCTGAACATTACCAGAATGAACACACTGGGACAGAGACAAGAAGACAGGAGCATCATGACCTGCCCGCTGTTACTGTGGGTCTTGTTTATTTTGTTTGAGTGCCTTGATAATGGGTTGCTTAAAATAAATGTCTTTCCTTTCTGGTTGCTTGGGTACCAGCCTCTTTCACTTTGTTTCTTGTGATTCCCTGCTGTAAGGAAATATGGGTTGATCTTTATATGCATGTTTACAAGAAGGTATCTCTTGAGTTGCCTTCTTTTGTTATCTTTCTGGTTTGCAGCTGTCTTTCATGTGGAATTTCTGTAATATCAGAAATTCCATTCACTTTTTTAAAAACAATTTTTGCATGATTGTTCTCTGAATTAATATACGTTACTTTTGCATTAGTTAATGTACTTTACTTGTGCATTAGTCACAATAATGAACCTAAGTATAAGATTTGGGAAATCATTTATACAGTTAAATGTTTTAGAATTTTTGTTTAGCTATCTACTTTACTCTAAGACAGACTTTTAATGGGAGTCTGGTTTTGAGGTACAGTTATAATTTAGTTAGCAGGAGATATTTCAATAATATTCAGGGTAGGGAGAATAGGAACTTTTAAAAACCATTCAAAATTTTCCCTTTAAACAATTTTACTAAGGAGTTTCAAGTACACTGACAAAATCACAATCAAAAATTTCCTATAAAACAGTTCTGAGATTTAGAACACAATCATTTTATTTTATATCTCTCTGAGAAAATGTAAAAGCTTTTTGTTTAAGTAGCTCTTGTGTTTAGAAGTATATTTAATAATTCTTCCATCCTTCAGTGTGGTGGTAATTTTATGTTGGTCAATCTTCTGGTAAATCAAGTCATATTTTTCCTCAAAACTCATGGACATCAAATACTGAAATGATCAGTTGCAATTAGTCATGTGCCTAAATTATCAGAAAGGTACAACCCCCCCCCGCTCTTTTTTCCTCCCTCCTCCCCCCCGGGGCGGGGGAGAAGCACCCAAGCCACCCAGGTTCTGCCCTTTCTGGAAAATGGTGAATGTTTAAAAAAAAAACAAACAATCACTTCCATTCAGGGAAAACGGAACTGCTGTGAAGGAATGGGACTAGGTGGTTTTTGGCCATTTGACGGCTATGTGGTTTGATACACAGGTGGACCTATTTACATCATGGAGCAACAAGAAAATTATAGCATTTGGCTCCAGATATTGGCACTAGTGGACATTGAGGGTGAACTACTACTTTTTCCTGGGATTAGACTAGCTAATGTGTTTTCTCCAATTCCATTATGTTCTAGGAAATCATGGTGGCCAAGTGAGCCTTGTTTCATACAGCAGGACCTCTGCAAACTAGGGAACCACCTTAACTGTTCCTGTCACAATTTCAGGATGCTCTTGCCAGGGCTGCCTGGGGAAAATGGAACAGATGTGTGTATTCACAAGCAAATAACATCCAGGCTTTGTCAGGTTATCTGATGGTCGTCCTCCCCACCCCAACTTTCAGAGAGTCTAAGCTAGATTGTCTTTTGGGGATGGGCTACTTGCCACTTATTAAACGAGGCTGGAGGCCAGAGGAGGATCCTTTTGCCTCCCTTCTCCCAGCATCACTTTTGCATGTGTGTGAAGAGATCGATTGTTTCAGTGTTGTGAACTATATGAAGTTGAATGTTTTTGCATTTTTATTTCTCCATTGGGAAGTTGGTAGTAGGGTTGAAATGTTGTAATTTAAGTTATTATTTATTGGTACTTTGCAACATTGAGTGCTTGTAGGACAGTCCTTGCAGAGGAAACTTTACAGCCAGATGACAATTAAATTAGGGGAAGTGATCTTTGTCCCCTGTTCTGATGTCTGGGGAGTGTGATGTCTCCGGGCAGTGAAACTCACCAGTTGGGACTCCAGAGATTGTCCTGAGATTTCTCTAGATCTCGTTACAAGGGTTAAGTGTATGCTGGTTTATTGTTAAAGTGAGCTGGCCAAATTTTTGTAAGTCATATGGCCAAATTGGTCCATGGACCAGCAGGAGAAGAACAAGGATACTCCTAATTATCAATTGGAATTAGGTGTTGCCTTTGATTTGGAGATGGGCTGCCCTTACTGTGAGAACTATTCTTTATTTCCATATCAATGAGGATTAAGTTAAATAAAGCGAGGCCTTTGTGTACCGTGCTGTTCAGTCAAAATGCAGATGTCTTCACTAAGGCATGCTTGGTAAATTACCACGTACCTGTGGCATGTCTGAGGCAACCAGACCTTGAGTGAGTGAATTTAGTAGAACTTCAGTAGGCTGAACCTTAAACAATGTAGCTACATGCAGAAATTAGTAGGTTTCCTGCTTAACTTGTGGTTGGTTATATTCTGAAAAGTAACTGCTTAAAAATGATTTCATAGAATTCAGTGTATGGTTTTTTTTGTCAATTACTCCATAGTGAGTCGCTGACCAGTAAAAGAATGACTTTCTTCTAATTAGCAAGCCCTGCACACTCCACCTAGTATTTGAATTTCAAACTCAGCTGTTTCTGGCTCATGCCTTATCACCAGTTATACAAACTCTACAAGAAGATCTTTGTTAACAATTATGTGTAAGTGCTTGCCAGAACAGACTCTATCTACTTTTTGTGAAGCTGCATTAACTTTGCAGTGCTACCAGGAGTAAAAAGTAATAGGAATTACCTTTGATAGGAAATTAAATGGATGAGATGCTCAATAAAAGTACGGTGCAGATATGTTGAGTAAGTGTCATTTTTATGTAACTTCTCTGATCACAAATGAGTAAAGTCAGGAACACCTCCATCTCTTTAGAATACAAATGGATATGAAGGATGCAATTATTAAAAAAAAAAAATAAATACATCAGAAGCAGGAAGCCTGCCAGTCAGTCAGCAGATCCACTGGATGATCATGGTGTTAAAGCAGTACCCGAGGAAGATCAGGCCGTTGCAGAGAAGTTAAATGAATACTTTGCAGCGGTCCTCACTGCTAGAGGATTTGAGGAGATTTCCACACCTGACAAATCTTTTTAGCTGACAGATCTGAGGAAATGTCCCAAATTGAGGTGTCCATAGAGGAGATTTTGGACCAAATTGAAATTAAACAGTAATAAGTCACAAAGAGCAGATGGTATTCACCCAAGAGTTTTGAAGGAACTCAAATACGAGATTACAGAACTACTAACTGTGGTATGTAGTCTTATCATTTAAATCAGCCTCTGTACCAGATGTCTGGCAGAGAGTTAATGGAAGGCTGACTTCTTAAAAAAAAAAAAAAGCTGCAGAGGTTAACTTGGCAATTACAGGCTAGTAAGCCTAACTTCAGTACCAGGCATATTGGTTGAAACTGTAGACAAGAATAGAATTATCAGATACATAGATGTATACAATATGGTTGGGAAGAGCCAACATGGCTTTTGTAAAGAGAGATTATGCCTCACCAATCTGTTAGAGTTCTTTGAAGTTGTAAACCATCATGGGGACAAGGGTGATCCAGTTGGATAGTGTACTTGGATTTTCAGAAAGTGTTTGACAAGTTCCTTTACCAAAGGCTCTTATCCCATGACTTCTTACTTTGCCTAAGAGGGAAGGGCCTCTCATGGATCAGTAAGTGTTAAAAAATACAAACAAAGCGTACGAATAAATGGTCAGTTTTCACAGTGGAGAGAGGTAAATAGCAGGGTCCTTAAGGATCTGTACTGGGAACAGTGCTCAACATATGCATAAATGATCTGGAAATGGAGATAAACAGTGAGGTGGTAACGTTTGTAGATGGTACAAAATTACTCAAGATAGTTGAGTCCAAAGCTGACTGCGAAGCTACATAGAGATCTCACAAAACTGGGTTACTGGGTAACAAATGGCAGATGAAATTCATTGTTGATATCTGCAAAGTAATGCACATTTGAAAACATCGCAAACTGCACATATAAAACGATAGGTTCTGAATTAGCTGTTACCATTTAAGACAGAGACCTTGGAGTCCTCATGGATAGCTCTCTGAAAACATCTGCTCAAGGTCCAGCGGCAGTCAAAGAAGCTAAAAATGTTAGGAACCACTAGGAAAGGGATAGATAAGACAGAAAATATCGTCGTTCATTATAGAAATCCATGGTACACCCACATCTTGAATACTGCATGCAGATGTGGTTGCCCCAGCTCCAGAAAGACATATTGGAATTGGAAAAGGTTAACAGAGAAGGGTAACAAAAGTGAGTAGGGGTCTGGAACAGCTTCCATGTGAGGAGAGAGTAAAAAGGCTGGGACTGTTCAGCTTGGAAGAAGGACGATTAAGGGGGGATATGACAGAGGTCTATAAAACCATGAATGGTGTGGAGACTGTGAATAGGGAAGTGTTGTTTTATCCCTTCACATAACACATGAAGTAGGGGTCACCCAATGCAATTAATAGGCAGCAGGTTTTAAAAAAAACAAAAGGAAGTACTTCTTCACACAACCCAGTCAACCTGTGGAACTCCTTGCCTAGGGACATTGTGAAGACCAAAAGTAAAACTGGATTAAAAAATAATTGGATAAGTTTATGGAGGATAGGTCCCTCACTGACTATTAGCCAAGATGGTCAGGGATGCAAGCCCATGATCTGGGAGTCCTTATGCCTCTGAGTGCCAGATACTGGAATTGGATGACCGGGGATGGATCACTTGATGATTGCTGTGTTCTGTTCAATCCCTTTGAAGCATCTGGCATTGGCCACTGTTGGAAGGCAGAATACTGGGCTAGATGGACCATTGGTCTGACCCAGTGTGGCCGTTCTTATGTTCTAATAAAAATTTGTGATTTGTTGCAAAAATTGCTGTTTGTATTAGGGAGTAATGTTTACTGTTTACAATCTGAAATTTGGTAATTTAGCATAGCTCTTAAATTCTGTGTAGCTGTGGTAACCAATACCAAATTGTACAGCATATTAAAAAAATAAACCAGTTATATTTATTAGTGTAATATCAGGGGATAGAGAATAGAAATTGCTTTTGTTTTAAAATATGGTGTTTATGAAAATGGGGGACTAATTGGAATGATTTTTGAACTAAGATGTTGGAGCAGCACCCGTCTCCAGTGCTCCATATACCATAC